TGCTACAGTTATCCTCTTTAGGAAAGGAATTTTTGAACTTTCTGGTTGTGCATCAATTTATGTTCCACTTTTTGTTCAGGCATGCGGCCACAGGGGCTGGGCGAGCACCTGCGAGCTCCAGGCCACCAGTAACCCATCCCTGCTCTCTCCCAGCTGGGCAACATGCTCACCATCATGGCTCAGCAGGAGATCCCACTGCCTGCCAAAAGCATGGAGCACTTGCTAGCCATCTAGGAACTGCTACCGAAACATCCCACGCTGCTGCTGGGCCTCCGGGAACGACTAGGGAAGCCATCCATAGCATGCACACAAATAATCTCTCGAAAGGGGGAGTAGGCTGTGATGAAAGAAGCCACCTGGTTCAAGTACAGATTGAGTCTTGTCAGGTCTCTTCTCTCAAAGCACTGGATCTCCTCCTTGGTATCTCCCTGGAGGGCTTTTCCCCTCCCACCCAGAGACGTTCACTGAGTTACACTAACAGACTTGTTGAGCTGGGGAAGACCCCAGCTTCTCCTTGGTCCCCAGGTAGGAAGTACTTCAAAGACAGCTCCTCTCCTTAGCTAAAGGAAAACCCACCCACCTCATCTACTCCTGGATCAGGTGGGATGGCTAGAATCAACAAGCCAAGACACTTCTCTCTTCTTCAAAGGGCTCAGCATGGTATTATTTCAGTTGCTGCTAAAAGGAAGAGAAAGCAGGACCAGAAGTGAAACATGGGCTTATCCACACAGGTACCTGTACCCTGCCCTTACGTGTATCCACCCCCTCCAGTCTGCTATCGCCCTGCAGCACCCAAAGCTCTCATGAGCAATGGCTAAGCAGCCCCCTGAGACATGGTTTACACTCAGAAAGGCCAAGCTTTTCATGTGTTTTCAGGGAACCGCTATGGAAATCCTAACTTAGGATCACTTAAAACCCCATGCACTGTGTCCCCCTTAAAGCACTCCAAAGAACATCCTTGCATCTTGGCTGAGATGACTGTACACAGAAAATTAACACCTACCAAATGGATAGAACTTAAAAAGGACAGGAGGGGAAGGGAGCACTCCAGCCTTCACATTTGGATACATGGATGCACACTAAAAATCTTAGCTTGAACCCTTTTATCAGCACATAAAATGAACTCAGTTTAATAATACATACAGGATACAAACACTACAGTTATATTCCCAAGACAGCACAAGAAATTCACAGCCAAGTCTTGATTCGATTTCCTTTACAATTACAATGCAGTCTTGAACACTGGACACAAGAGTCCAACATGCTATTTACATTTCACATTGTGGAGATGTTTGTGTGCTTGGAAGAGTTCTCAGTTCCAAAGGAAAGCGTCACTCACACATGATGATGCAGTGGAAATAAACCAAGCCAACCAGACAAGCCAACGACCACACTTGTGCTTCTGAAAAAGTAACATGAAGTGTCTTCACCGACGCAGTCACCTTCAACCGGACAAGCTGCCTTCCACTCTACAGTTAGTGAGGTGTCCAGAGGCCGATCTCATCTCCCCTGAATTCTGGACCCTTTTGCTAGCAACCAGCAAGATGAGTAATGTTCCGATAAGGTCAGCTGGGACACACCAAGTGATATGGCCTTGGCATTTCGTCACATTAAAAACAGAGACACAATGGAAGAGGGAGAAGTCTCTACAGCTTTACCTCCTACAGCGTGAAGAGTTTGGACTCCCTCGACCACAAATGCCATCTAGAACAGATGGGTCTTCACCAGATAGCACCTGCTGTTCACCCGAGAGGGAGGCACAGAGTCTGGGAGATCTTGGCTTCTGAAAGTCCACTCCTCAGACAAAATGTGACCATATGGATGAGACCGATTACGTCGCAGCCATAAGAATAGGCAAAGGCCATCTGTTCTTCAGCAGATCCGTTCAGACCAGCCTGCAGAAATGCCACACTGTTGCTCAAGGTTCCAGTAAAAAAAAAAAAAAAAAAAAGGGGAAAATGCACACCGGTTCTCAAGGGTCCAAGAAAAAAAAAAAAAAAAAAAAAAAAGTGGTAATAATAATAATAAACCAAAAGAAAACCATTTTGTCTGTGTTTCCTATCCAGCGCTCTGCACAGCATGCAGCGGGGCAGCAGAGTCCCAGGATGCTTTACAAAAGTGCAATATCCATGTCAAGTAAAGGAAGTGCTGGCTGGACAAAGGTACACAGCTCACACTGCAGTCACGTTATGCTGGCCTCCAGAGGGCAAAACGTTATCTCCCTAACGTTCTTTCCAGTTACATTTTGAAGTCACAGAGCACATACCTCCACATCTGTGCCTGGCTGCAAGCCCCAGACGTTGCGAGAAGTCGTTCTGGGCGTTAGGTGTGGCTATGCCAAACCTTGGGAGGAAGCAGGTCAAGGTGGCTGCTCCATTAGATGCTGCAAACAAAACGGTACAGGCTCGCTCCCCCGTTATCCCTGCTGGCACAGACAATGCCACTGTGACAATTCAGATCCAACCCCAAGTGCAGTCACACGCGTGTTCAGGATGCATTCTGTATACAGAGAAGTCAATATACAGAAGCATTTGTTTCCACAGGGCTCTCCCACACCCTCCAGCCTTCAAAACACTTGCCTTCAATGAGTAGTACCAATTTCAGGGCAGGTCCCCTAAAACTGATAGTGTAAGTAGCAATCCGAGCACATCCTTGCAAGGAGAGATGATGGCAGAACAACTCAGTCTTAGTAAGGGTTATATGGCTCTTGTTTCTTTCTTCAAAGCGAGGGGAAGGTTCAGTGCCCCCCAGAAAGCAGTTGCGTGCTTCGGGCCCTGCAAGCTAATCACACCACAGGCCTGCGCTCCCGCGTCTCCTGGTAGGCTTTAACGCAGGATTGAAAACCTGGTGCTCATGAGCTACAGTGTCCCTCCATACCCCCTGTGACTACGTTTCCCTGACCTTGTTATTTGAGAACGGAGGTATGTTTCAGTGTGAAGCCCATCAAACACGTCTGAAAGGGCATACTCAGTCCTGAGCAAGGAAATCCTGCTTCCAGAGATTTATGGTGAAGTGTGGAGTTTCCTCCCAAACCTCTCTTCCTGTCTGCACGGTGGTGCCTCCTCCCCGACTCCCTCACTCCTTTCAAAGGTAACAGCTGGCCCACAGCTTTTGCAGTCTATTAGTGGTTTCTATCTTAAGAGGAGTCTCAAAGCTTGCTATTCCACAGAGCTGGTACCATTTCACAGCAGATACCATCATCCTAGTTAGCTACCCGCTAGGAGCGATTCCTACCTCACTGCAAGAAGGCAACTGACTTGAGTAAAGGCAGATTGGTAGATTCTGTGCCCCGTACAGCAAATGTGGGGTAAACAGACACCGAGCGTGAACATCACTGAGGTGAAGACTTAACTGCCTCTGCCAATGGCTCAACTCCAGTTTAAGAGACGTTTCCCACCTTATTTCCTCTGCCAGTTATTTAATATAATGCTCAGCAGCTACACTAAGATGCCCCTGCTCAGAGGTAAAAAGACAAAAAGGAACATCATAGTTACCCTACTGACAGGGCAGTACTTGACAGTACCTCCCAAGAGGCAGATCTCCTCTTCCAGTAGGAAGCAGTCAGTGCCCTTCAGAGCACTGCTCTTCAGTGGAAAGTACAGCACCAATGGAGGATGTTGCCTTCTGCAGGCACCCAGCTGCCCCTTTGCAAGCCTTGTTCTGCCTCATGTCTAGAAAAATGTCTTACACGTGCCTTAATATGGTCAGATAGTGGTTAGCAATGTGCCTTGAAAAAACGAAGAAAATAAAAGAGAGTAGAATAAAAACCTGTTCTGACAGTCAGTGTTCTCCAGATGTCATGTGGGTTTGTGACCCCGGAACACAGATGATATACTGATGATCTTGTGAGTTTGTTAGGACTGAGGGTCCAAAAACCTCCTTCAATGCCAGTTCGGCAGCCCTGTGCTGTAAATTATGATTAAAAAAAAAAAAAAAGGAAGAAAATAAAAAGTCCAGCAGAGTTCACAGGTCACTCCTGCAGGGAGAGCTTGCATTTGCTATAAATCCATTGGCGCTTCCAGTCCCTCTTGCTTGTGCAAGCTGACTGTCCCATAAGATCTAGCATCAGAGCGCTGAAACTCTTCAGTGTAAAAAATACCCCCCCTGAAGTCTTACAAGTCTTTTCCTGGAAAAATTTGGCACCAAGTGGGTAGCTGGCTCCTGTTTGGTCAGTGTGTTGGCCTCGTAAAGGCAGCACCCAGAATGCCATCTGCAAGTATCTAGGCTCCCCTGATGGAGCGGAGGTCAGGTTCAGAGCAATGGGACTGGGTAGTTGACTGGTGCTGGGACCCCCTGCTCCTCCTCAAGAATTCATGTTATTCAGTGGGAAGGAAAAAGAAGTTTTCTTAATAGATTTTTTTAAAGTTAACCAGGATAGCAGAATGGGTTGTTCTACAAGAACCCCAGGCTCCCCAATTACAGTGGATATGCAGTGACACCATGAGGCAGGAGTTTCCCTCCTCCCTCACACCGGGCACAGGACCAGAGGACTCCCACCAAAACGCTGCACTCTGCACCGACTCAGTATTCCCTCACTGTACTTTAGTCACAGGCGCTGAGCCTCTGCTTCTGCAGCGTCTGACAGACTGCAGATCCCACTGCAGAAGGGAAGATGATCTACCACCATCTTTCACCGAGTCCCACTGGGGAACAGAAGGGGAAAAAAGGGGCAGAAGATATTCACTGACTTTTTCTGGTAGGCTACTCTAAGTTGGTCCCCAGGCAGGTGAACCCAGTTCCTTGACTGGGTGCTCGCCGTTGCTTGCCTGCACGTGCTTGACCTCTCTTGCACATCAGGTACAAGGTGAAGGCTTAAATTCAAAAGGGGCTTCCACTCCAGCGGGCAGGTACCAGGTTGGAGGGGCGGTCTGGACTGGAGAAACAGAAGGAACTGCACTGGATTTTGGGCAGAACAGCAGGATTGCTCTACGAGGACAGCACAGGGGCGCAGCAGTTGGCACATTGTTTAGTTTGACTGCACATGTGGGTTTTGTTTGGGGTTTTTTTGCTTTTGCTTTTTCATTTTAATGCACACTGCCAGCATCTGGACGAGGTTGGTTGGTGGCGAGGTATTTGGCTCTCATGCTGGAGGTGTACTGGAGGAAGACAAGACAAAAAAAACAAAACAAACAGAACAGAAAAGTAAGTCAGAATGACTAATGTAAACCAGGAACCACAGATTACGACCACCTTCCAGAATAAGATGGTCTGTATTTACAGCAAGCATATCAAGGAGCTGCTGGCTCAGTCAGACAAGGAAAGTTTCACAAGTCACTGCACAGTCCACTTTTGGTAACATACTGTCAGCCTGCTGCAAGGATGCTGGCCAGTCAGCGCAGATGGGCTAATGATTTATCCAAGCTTTTTACAGAGAAGGAAAACCAATGGTCACTGAGTTGAAATATGCCATATTTCACTTGGGAGAAGAGAGGGAAATGGAAGTGATGCAGATGTAAAACCCCCCCCTCACACTTTCATGCCCTCTCAGTCCTGTTATTGCCTTCAACCATGCCAGAAAAGGAGGTTGAAAAAGAAAATGGGTGTGCACTGCATTTTTACATTGCATTTTATGTCAATAAAGGGGATCAGAAGACTGCACGCACCACAGATGAACAGTTTGGAAGAAGAGGTGGAAGAATTAATCTCTGAACAATTTATGCCCAAGAAAGAACAGACCCTGCCAGGCTGGAAACAGGCTGCCATCAAGCAAGATGATATTAGCTAACAGTTACCAGATGGGTAATTATCCACTGTGCTTAGGATTCAACCTGAATACCGTGTAGCAGCAGACAAGACTCAGGTTGTGGGCGACAAGAGAAAATCAGAAAGATCAGAGGTTGTTTTGGTTTGAGGGGGTGTGTTTTTCTCTTATTTTCTTTTGTATTCTAAGTAAAAAGTATTCCAAAACAGCTCCCAGGAGCTACTAACATCTGCCATTCAGCGCTGAGTAACATGCTGAAAAGCACGTAAATAGTACCCAGCAGTAAGAACAAAAGACTTTGCCTCTTTACACCAATGTGTCCAATGCCTTCATCATGACCACATTAATGCTTCTGGGATTCTGCTATCATGATACTAACAACCAAGCAACGAGGACAGACCTCTTTTTATATCAGCTGGAGCTTGAATAATTCCATAATACCCACATCTTTCCTCCCAAGAGTGCTCTTCAGCATACCGAATTTTATCACCTTTAGAACTGAATCACATAAAACAGCAGGTTAAGCTGGCAAAGGGACAACTGAAAGGCAGTTCCTCACCAGGAGGTATGATTTATCTTGCCCACTGGGAAAGAACGTTATGAGGCATCCTTAGGCTCTCAAAAGCTCAGCTATCTAAAGGGGTTTTCAGAGAATTAACAGTATATCAGTTTTCCTTCAAAGACTGACCCAGGCTGAATGTCTGCACAACGGGAAAGAGAAGCTGCTCCTCTGGCAGAGCTGACCCCATTGGCACAAGATGAAGACACCTGTGGCTGATTTGCACACTCACCTTTTAGTGTCTTCCATAATTGGAAAACTTTCTGCAGAACGTGGATCTTAATATAAAACTCTGACCCAGAAATGGTGTCTATATTTAGAAGACAAAGGGTACACATGTTCTTTTCAAGATGTAGTTTTAGCCAGTGAGATGGAAAAAGGTGAAGACCAAGATGAGACAGTTTAAGGACCATATTCTATACAGTTTATTAAATGTGATTACTGTTTCAAAACAGTAATAAAGTTTAGAGCATTATTAGAACATATGAGACTAACCCAACAGGCTCAGAAAGGCTCAGAAGTCAAAGAACTTTCTCACAGACCAAGCAGGGCATGTTTCAGGTAGCATGATGCTGAATTTACCAGCTAAGCATAATGCTGAGGGTCTTAGAAAGTGAGCAATCATGCTTTTTTCCTTCTATTTGTATTCTATATATGACATGTAATTGGAGATGGGTATGAACAGAGATCTTTCAGGTGCTAAGGTTTTGTAAGAAGTATTTAGAAAAAAATCTTAGATCATGAAAGGTTATTATGCATCTTCCTGGTCCAGTCACATAGGTTCAGCAAGCTACATGCAACATCAACTTCCTTTAGAGCATTAAACTCAAGAAGGGCCACTTGATGAACTGCATTTCAAGGATGTACAAAGTACACCCATCACGGAGGGAGAAGACGAAAAGAATTCCTCCTTCCTCCACTAAGAACACATCCCACAGTTGCTTAAGTGTCACTAAAACAAAGTAAACAGGAACATGAGATTTGGACAGTCAAGCAGAGGGCATTTCACATTCAAACCTACCTGCAATCCACCACAAGGAGCAAATCAAGACTCAGAGTAGTCAGAGTTAGGGCTGATGTTCTCTCCTTAACTCAGGATTTTTGTGCCTTTGTACCCTTTCCCATTAGAGTTTGAACCTTCTGTTACAGTTACTCCTTCTGTTAAAGTGTATTTTCAATGACCATGCTAAGTATGATTGAAACATGGAAGGAGAGAGCTAACGCTTCCCTGTGCACCTCCCATGACCAGCACAGCTTTACCAGCGTGCACTGGATTGTCAGCCACCACATCAGACTCCACGGATGAATGCTTTGCTCCACGTGCTGTTGACAGCAGTCCCTCATCGAAGTCCGTCAGTGCATCCTCTGCTGGGAAGCAGAGGGAAGCTGCAGTGGAATACACAGATCCCAACATCTGGACAGGCCAGCAGACGAAGATGTATCAGCAGAAACTTGCTAGTCACATGGCTATGGAACCAAACTATTATCCACAGTTAAAAAGTACCGCTAAAGACTTAAAGCGTGAGCACAACTCAGAGCTGAGGAGGTCTTGGCTTCTACTCTGAGGTAACCCGGATACAGTGCCTGACACAGCTACAAGGTACACAGTTGCATTTAGTTTCCTTCAAAGAGGAGCTTTCATAGAAGGTTGAAGAAATCGCACAATGCGTTCATTCTTCCAGCACTTTCACTGGAAGTACCCACGTGCCTGTACACCCTCATTTACCCTTTCAAAAACAGCACGGACGACAAGTTTCAACCCGTACCTTCACCACACTGTCAGCTACCCTAAAGAGTACCTAAAAGACTTCTTGTTACCGTTTCTCCTGGCACCTTGTGCTATTCAACACAGCACACCTCTCAGTCACTTACCAGTCAGCTAGCACAAACACAGCTGATTGCACGCAAGTTTATTTTTTTAATTTTTCGAAAGAAAAAAAGAAAAAGGCTCTCCTTCACACTCAGCCTTGTTGAGGGTATAAACTTTCATAGGTATGGTTTGCCAGCAGATCCTAGTTAGGTTCTTAATTCATATAGCCTGTGTACAAAGGAGTCATTGGTTGCAAAAAAAAAAAAAATTAATGGGAATAATCAGTTAATTTTAGAGACCATAGATTTTACCAATCCCTGTGAACTGTGCAGACCATGAGTACTTCACAGCTAACTGAGCTATGCTGGAAAAAATCACTCACCATATGAACCTACGATTCTGAGTATAAACTATTTACTATTTGTGGTTAAAACCCCCACACGTATCTCTCTTCAGCTGCCCTGACTTTGATTTCCTGCCAGAGCTATTCAGGTAATCCAATAAAGACCAAAGCTTCTGGATTGAAGTTCTTAAAGGTTGATCCACCGCCCAAATAGCTGGAGCACAGTAAACACACAGGGCTTGGTATCATTATGTATGGGAGGTACGAGATGCAGGGAAACAGCCAATTGCAGCCAGTGGGTTCTGAATTCAAAGCAACTTAAGTTTTCCAAGTCAAAAAGAACAGAGCTTCTGTTTGTTTTGTTTGTTTTCAAAGTCTTGGAAAGAATGCAATACCTTTTTCTTAGCCCTGCAAACAGCCACATTAAACTCTGGGTGTGACCTTAGGTAAACAGAAGACAGTGCAGGCTGAGATCAGCTCATGTTTCAGCCCAGAGGAGATTTCAAGTCCAGAATGAAGACACTAGAATTCCCCTGCCCCAGCAATATCTTATTTTCATGAAACAGACCCGTCTACCACTGCTACAATACCACCTGCAGGAACCAAAAGGCAGAAAACCCACCATAAGCTGACGCCCAAGAGCGGTCTTTGCAAGGCTTCAGACTGAAGAAAGTTGTGACCCGTTCAAGGGTACTAGCACCATGCTTCAAGACAAGTTTGCTTGCATTCATGCACCATGGCAGAGGGCACCAGGACACCCAGTTCAGAGAACACCCTCCCAGAGTGTCGCAAGGCAGGCAGACAGACGGCAAGAGGCAGCAAGAATGCAGACCAAGCAGCAACATGACGGAAAGGAATCCAGTGCAAGGCTGACAAAAGTCCCAATGAGAACAGGAGAAAAGGAGGAACACCAGCTTTATGGACATGTATTTCTGGGAACACTATGTAAGATACAGGTCATTGACTGAATGAATCAAGCAACAGACCCTCTTTTCCAACTGGAATCAACCCCTTCCAGGTACTGTGTGGCTGTAGTTCCCTCGAAGGCGCACACTGTCCTTCATATGAGAAGAGCATGATGAGCCTGGGAGCTCTAATTACACCCTGTATTTAACCAAGCTAAGCACTCCAAGGCCTAATGCAGACCACCTACTCTTTCTGTAGGCACATGGCTTTGCCATGGACCACTGCAAAGGAAGAAACGCTGGCTATCTTGGAGGACACCAGCAGCTACAGCCCATCAGGAATTCAGACAGTGAAACGGTACAAGGAAGGCCCTGCTCACAGAGCCTGTGGGACATGAATGGGATGATTTGGACACACAGAGAACAAACAAAACAGTAAAAGGTTTTGAAACAGAATGAAATAGATCTTAGTGCTTATGTCTGGACTTTTAGGGAAATTTTAAAAAAACCCAACTTGCTCGTTTCTGACTTTAAATGAAAGGATAAAAGAAGCTGCACACAGATCTAACAGGCAAGGAAGTAACTCTTCAGGACAGGCCACCATTACCAGCTAAGAGCTTTCAACAAATTAAAAATCTCACGGAGGAGCTTAGAGCACGTGGCAGATAGGTATCGGTGGTTTCGGGCATGTGCTGTTATGACCAGTCAAGACAGAACAGCAGCAGGTCTCAAGGGAAACCAAAAGGTTGACTTAAGACAACCAGTCCCAACTGAAAAGCTGCTAGATTGGTTCTCATTACTTCCAGAAAAGGGCTTCTTGTGATGGGAGGACTTCTGCATTTGCAGTGCAAGGTTAGTTCTACATTCGAGCAGCACTCGGTACTAAGTGTTCAAGCTGTTCTCAGGTGTGGACTCTGAGTTGAAGCTGCTGTGAGTTAACCTTTGTGAGGCATGGACACGTATAACCCTCACAAATTGCACCAGAAGCCTTTGCAAGGTTGATATTGCTCCTTGAGTCTGCACCAGAGCAAAAGTGATTTTAATTTTAACCCTTGGCAGGAGGGAATGGGGTGGGAGGTGCAGAGGGAAGGAATGTGAAGAAATAAAAGGCACTGGCCTGGGATAAACAGTGCAGGGATGAAGGGAGTGGTTGGGAGTGGAGAAGGGGTTGAGCAAGAAGGACCTTTTTTCCAGTACCTGTTCCATTTGCGGGCGCTGTTACCAGTATGTCCGTGCACTGTCCGAGGGCTTAAGCTGCCAGCTCATATGGCTGCTACTGTCCATGGCAGCCAAATACAACTGTGATGACGCAAGAAAGAGAGAAAAAGAGAGTGCAGCCTCAACGTGCATGAAAAACACAGTGCAAGCAAGTGAAACGCTGTGGTGTGTGTCAGTGACAAGGTGGGCTCTACAACCCTATGGGAATAGCCCTGTGGCAAGAAGGAGAAAACAGAAGGAATGAGAGAAGGAAAAAAAAACCAACCAAACAAACAAAAAGCCAGGAAAAGTAACGGACAAACAATGCAGCAGGATCATCACACCTTAGTTTTCACCATTTGTTCACAGAAAGCTGAATGGAACATACCAGCTTTGTCCACCCACTGGACACAACCTGTTTGGATGGTTATCCCAACCTCCTCCCTCCCAAGAAGAGGCAGGGACATGTGCACTGGTATTCCCTTGTCACCTCTCCTCCCACAGATGATTTGCTATGAGAAGTTGCAAGTTCTTCTGCCTCAGTACGGTCTCAGCCACCCACTACGGAGACCCAGGAATACAAAAATCCCAGAGAAGGCCCCTTCCCTGCTGCCTGCCAATATGAGAGTAGACAGTATTTTTCTCCTCTCCATTGCCTGTCTACTATCAGTATGACCCTCCAGAAAACACATTTGTCCTATAGCCTGTTCCTTGCCTAGTCTAGGGAGAAACTCCCCCTGTCTGTATGAGCAACGATGCACTCCCCTCCTCGCCCAACTCCTGTGCTTCCCTATAACCCACGGAGATGGCTGCCAAGTCAAAAAAGTCTCTTTAGCTGCTCTCAGAAACCAGCCCAAAGCACCAGGACTCAGATCCCCCTTAAGGGTATTAACACAAACAGCTACTGAAGAACCAGGGAACTCCCTGCATAACTAAAGCCCCTGTGGAAAGGGGTGTGCTTGCTCTGAAGCAGAAGAGCTGCAGGGGAAGGGGAAGCAGGACCTTGGTCTACAAACACTGAATGAACATGTGCCTAGGCAGTACCAGAGGGACAGTGCCCTTTCTTCAAATAGGAAACGCCAGCAGTAAAGCATTTGCCACGCTGTACTGGTGTGCAACGCATCAGCTCTCCTGAGGACCGTCTCGCTGTGAGCAGGTAACACTGCCAGAGCTCGTGACCAGAGTACTGCCAGGGACCAGGAAAAACTCTTTGTGAAGGTTGAAAGAGGTCTGGCCAAGTACAGAGACAAGGATCAACGCTCCACTTTCTCTACAGCAAGATGGAACTGGCCATTTTGAAGTGAAAACATGAATGTGATGTCCCCTTTTCCACCACAATTCCTACTCTTTCATCGTCCGACCTCCTCTTCCTCCCATTCCCGTGAATTTGAACCATGCACCAGAGTATTTTCTTTACCTATACCTGAAGGCTGGTTGATTATTAAGCATGCTGCTACTCATCTTCTGTAATCACACCACCAAGTCAGTGAGCACTGCGATGGCATGTCCTCCAGGTTCTGGTGTGAGCAAGGCTTACAGGATCCAGTGAAGGAGGGCAAGATTCATCTATTCTTACACATACATGAAGGCAAGCTCATGTTTTATCCAGCATACAGAAATGGCTGTCAGGCCACTCCAAATATCAAAACCTTCCATGAAAGTTGGGGATTTTCCCTCCACAGGAAATTAAATACAAAAAATAGATTTCTAAAGAAAGTAAAACAGTTGTGAAAGAAAGATTTAAAGAAAAAAATCTCAACAAAAAAATAATACAGGTTACATCCTACCATCCCTTTAGGGTAGATTAAGGAGAGAGGTTCAGCGATAACTCTGAATTTACTGTTTTAACAGGTTTCTTTTTAAACTTGTAGAACCAATGCCGCAGATAGCAAGTACGCTGCATGCAAGTGAATCATCCTGCGGAAGCCACCCACCAAGACACTCATGCACTTCAGTGGTGGCAGGACTGGGCCCATAGGATCTCCAGTGTTAGTAGATTGAGTTTTATTCTTTTTATGTGCAACGTCCAAAGTAGCATAGCAGGGTTTTAATCCCCACAGTAGGTGAGAGATGGCTTGTCTGTTCAAATTGCTGCCATTTATGGGCCAGATCCTGCGTTTGACTGTACAATTAGCTCCCTTGAGAGTATACAGGAGTGGTAAACGTGTATTCCACAAAGTTGCTGAAGCAAAGAGGAGCAGTAAAGAGAGACTTACTGAGGGAGGTGGGGACTCCCGGCCAATGAGCGGGGTATTCTCACAACGGGGGTTCTGGAAATTTGCATTCTGGCTCCTAGGAAAGGAAGACACACATGGTAATAGGGGGTATGTGTCACACTTCTCTGGGGGAGGTCTCTGATGTTGACATGAGACAGAGTATACACACCCCCAGAACTACTGTATCAGGTCAGTCTCCCTCAAAGCTTTACTTACAAGGCCAGGTAGATACCCCTTTTTCAGACAAAGGCACAAAACTAGCATTATTTTCCTCAGATTAAGCACTATCTTTATACTCTTACTCAGAAGAGCCCACACTGAATCGTGTCAAGTGATTTAAAAATAGGTCCATGTGAAAACTTGGCTCCCTGCAGCGTTGGCAAGCTGCAGAAATGGAGATAAAATGAGGACAAAGTCTAACGGGAAGAACAAAATGACATGCCAGCCCAAAAAGATGGACCCTGAAGGTAGTCCAAGTGTGATGAGGGTTAGGCATTTCTGGAGAACACTCTGCAGATCCCACCTGGACGAGGTAGCTCGAGACTGCAACAGATGTCAGAGCTGATTGCAAATACTGGGGAAGGACAGAGCCTGCAGGTTTTGTCTTGGCTCTCGGTCTCTCAGGAGGCTCAAAATCTTCTGGAAAAACTACTCTGTTTGAAGAATTAAGTCTTCTGGGGATCACAATCATTGTGTAATAAGGACAATACTTCCCTACTTTTCCCTAAACAGATTTCTAAATCCTGGAGAACAAAGCTATTCATATTTTGGAGCATGCTGTCTAATATAACTCTTTCTACTGCAGCACATTTAAGCTATTCCATCCTCCCCATAGATGCCAATCAGAAAACATGCCTTTTGACACTTTGGACAAAATCCTTTATCACGTCGACTGCTTGGTCAAAAGCACCAGCCTCGCAGCACTTAGCGACAGCAGAAATCGGGGTAAAGCAACCTGGAGAAGCCGCAATACAGCCTTCTTGTCGGGATACTCACATGTACTCTGTGACGGGAGCATTGCTGACTGTGTGTGCTGCTGCTGGAATGCTGGTCTCACTGCCATAACTACTCCCACAGCTATAGAGGCTGGGCATGTGCACTCTGTAAAGATTATCGTGTGTTTGTCTGCTCCCTTGAGCAGCTGATTCTTCTTCCCCATCATCATCTGAGCTTCTGCAAGAAGGAGAAAAAGTTCCTCCTAGAACCCTACAATTACACCACGTGTAGGGTTTGCAGGAAACCATGGTAATCCTAGGAACCTCCCAACCATCTTCCACACCTCCACATTTATACCCATTTGGGATGCCTCAGGGTAGCAGTGTCAAACACAGCCTACTCCACAGTGACTCAGACCTCCCACAGATACCATCTGGACTTTCACACTGCGTGATCCCCTACAGTCTCCCCACGGTTTTCTCTCAGGGCTTGGCAGACGGCACGGTTCTGCAACTGCCCAGTCATACAACCACAGGGTGGACACGCATCCCGAAATACACAGCACTTAAATAAATAAGAGAAGCGGAGATGTGGTGCCATATACCCCTTCAAAACTGAAATCGGTGCGCTCCCACTTCTTACAGACATGTCCAGAGAGCTTTTAAGGGTAAGTCTCTGTAGACTTCTGACTCCCACCCTGGTTACAAAGGGTCTGCTTCAGCTTCTAGCAAAATCTCAGAAGTCTTTACAGAGACAAAGTTGCAAAATTAGTGTCTAAAGGCTTTATTATCTCAAAAATGCCAGGATTTTAAACCCATTTTAATGCAGAGCAGAGCTGTTTGCCAGCTGGTTCCTTTCCCATAGCATCCTTTTGCCCCTCCTGTGTAATATACACTGCTATTTTATCTTCCCAAGTAGGGGACGAAGGACCAAGGTTTGAAATAAGTTCTAGTGATGCTTAACAAAGCCAGTTAGAGATTCTACAAGAACCACTTCGTTGCTGGGGCAGACAACATGGACAGGGCTAGAACATCACCTGCAGCTCCTGTACCACACGGTGGCAGTGAAGGTTTATTCAGGGAATTGCAGCCTGCCCAATCTCTTACAGGCAATTAAGCATAACATCCTCCACCTCCCCGAGGGAGCAGAGGAAGAAATGGTGCTCCAGGGAATGCAAGAGGGAATCCTTCAGTTCACAGCAGCAGCCTGAGCCTTGCTGGGTTGGCAGGGCAGGCTCCAGCCCACATGGAAGGCAGCTCAAGGATACCACTGTATAAACCTTTCTCCTTCAAACAGGCAGACTACCATTCTCTCCTTGATAATGCCTCTGCAGCTGCATGTGGAAGAGGTAAGGAGACCAGCCATTTTCTTAAGTGCTATTCTGACGCATTTCCCAAGGCTTTCTCTGTGGGCACTGCAGGCCTGGCAGGCTCTTGGCTTCCTGCTATTGTTCAGGATGCTCCGTCTTACTTTGAACCTTGAGCCTGGGATTTGACCACAAGAATCACATTGCAGGATGACAGAAGAGAAGTGCTGCAGAGTCTACTGCTCTTCTGCAAGAGTAGAAAACTCAAAGCTATTTTAATAGCTGCATGTGGTGCAGCAGCCAGTCAGTGAAGCAAAGGTTTGGTCGAGACTTACTGATCAGCCTGGTTACCATCATTAATACTAGTTCCACGCAACTCTGCTGTTCGACAATTGCCACCCATTTGCAAGTATCTCATCTGCCCATGCTACCGCCAACAAGACAGTTCCTGGTTTCTATTAGCTACGCAAGTCAGTCGCCTCAGCATGAGCAAAGCCAAAAAGGCAAGTGTGAACACCTTCTTATTCCAATTCTCTTCCCCATACTAGAACAAACACCTCAGAGCAATGCAAGAGAAGAGGCATTTTACAGAGATGGCACATAGTTCAAGCTTTACTTCTCTACAGCTATAATCATTCATCTCCGACTTGACTCACAGTCCTACAGTGAACTGAATACTCTGCACATGTAGTATTCCAGTGCAATGAAGTTCAGATGTAAATATTAACCACAGCCAGAGTAAAAGCCAACAGTTGGGTTGGGTTTTTTTTTTCTGTTGGACCTGTGCTTATAAAGCCTTATCCCTCATACTCCTGGGATCATATGGGAAAGAGCTCCATATGCTCATGGGCACAAATCCAATAGCCAGTCTTCATTAGGAAACACTACAGGATCTAAACCCTCCCTATACCTCTTCTGTTGCCAAGTGTGGGGGACGCTGCACACAATGGAACTGAACATGAGGGCTGTGACAAAGGAGAAGAGAACCAGGTAGATGAGGCCTTCCACTCCATCATAGCAAAAGCCGGTCAAGGCTTGGACGTAATCCTGGAGAGAGAAATGAGCAGAGTTTCCTGATCACTAGAGAGTTAACACTGAGCTCTAATTCAAAAGCCCTTCCCCTCTAGACTACATTCTCTGAAACAACTTATGGGACTGTAGTCCCTTTTCCAAACCATACTTCCAGTTTAATTTTGGGGACCTCAGGTGTTTTTCATAACTGATCTTAACCTTATTACCCTTCAGAAATCCCAACTCAGATACAGATGTGGGAATACTTTCAAGCCCACACAATAAGAGTTAAAAAAAAAAGAAAAAGAAAAACCCAAGAGAAACTTATCCACCCATCTTAAGATGTCACATTTTTCATTACACTTCTCAGCTCCTTCACAGGTCTCATTTCCCCAGAACACAAGCATGGGCTATCTGTTTCTCTACCTTTGGTCCTGCAGCCAGGGCAACAGTTAGGCCATACTATACTGCAGCTACAAGGCATTCCAAGGGAAAGACAACAAACTATGAGCTAGAGAGGGGGGGAGGGGGGAAAAAGTCCCAGAAACCTTAGGGCTGCAGCTTGTATATGTATAAAGGCATGTTATCTAGTTTCCTATGCTGATATTTAAACACAAACCTAACTCGATCCAAATTCCCATTCTCCTTTCTGTTGGAGTAATCAGTAAAAGCTGTTGTAAACTGTTTTGGCACAGAGAGATTCAAAACTTCAAGCCCAGTTACCAAGTACTCACCAAGTGCAGGCTCCGACAGTCTACTAAAGCTGTCAGTTGCTGCAAGTTGATCTCTGTTGAATTTAAGACCTCCTGGATCCGAGTGAGATACTCCTGCAAGCAACAAGCGAGCGATTATAGCAAGGAAATGACTTAGCAGGAGCTGATCTTGGGCTTTGTACAAGGGGGTAAGGGAAGCCAGAATGCACAGGGCAAGCAAACTCGAGGAGAGTTACCTTGGAGGTTGGGTGCTCTCTGCTTGCTGACCTCATGAGTTCCATAACGTCATCTTGCATTTCCACCAGAGCCTTGTGACTTCCTGACAGCTTCTGCTCAACACAAAACAAGAAATGTTTCAGCAATTCAGGCCATATGAGCCAACAGAACTTCTGGGAAAAGACTTAATGCCCACTTTCCAAATACTGAAGCATCATCTCTATGAATGGCACAAGTTAAGGATGTCTCAATTGACATGGATGCAGCTGTGATAGGGTTAAGTTTGACTTTTATCAGTCTGGAAGAATTACAGGCAGAAAGAGGAGGGAAAGGGAAGAACCAAAAGAAAGAAAAACACCCACGAAACCACTTACACAAAATACATACACGCAGCTGAGGCCACCTCCAAGATAGAGGAGGAGGAGAAAGACAGAATGCACTCATGTTCTCACCACAGAACACAGCTGGATTTTCCTATTAAATTAGATGGCTGAGAAACACTTAATGTTAACAGTAGAAGTTGTTTGTGTTGGGGTGCAGCCTTCACATCCCATTAAAGCATCCATGGGAATTTCACATGCAATAGCCTGTCAGAGTATACTGAGCAACCAGAAATGCAACAGATGGCAACAGTGCATCATAGCACAGCTTGAAGTGTTCTTACCCCACCCTTTAAAACAGAGGAAGACAAGACTTAAAAAATCCTAAATATAAACGGTGAAGCAGCTGGTGTCTGCCAAACGGTGGGTGGTGTGGGTTCATTCTGGCCTCTGATACATAAGACAAAGTTTAGGATGGGCCCAGGTGCTGTTCCTCAGCCCCCACACAAAAGAATAATGACTCACATTTGTACTTGAGGATACAAACCCTTCAACATCCAAGGGATTTAAGAGGCGTATGTGAGAATCACTCCCTCACCCACAGAAGTGGCTGCATTTTGGGAGTGGAGTGTTGCCCCTGTTTAAGCCAAAAGAACCTGCAAGAAGAGATTCAAAGCAGGAAGCACGTAGTTTCCCACCCTGGCATTAACTGCGGGTGCTCTGTCTCCACGCTGCTGCTCTTAGAAAAGTGCTGTGTAAACTGAGGTACCATGAACAAAGCCATGGTCCTCACCACATCACACAGCGGCCCTTCTAAGAGGGAGGGCACCCTGGACCTGATGCTATGCAGGTAGTGATGAAGTTGGAAAAAACTGCTCACTAAATCAGTGTCACCTCTTGTACAGCTGGAAAGTAGCTACCAAAGCTTTACCAACAGGTGGAGTGCTCCCTAAAGCTAACACCTTGCAACTTGCTGCATGCTGGCACCAAACGCCTTTAACCAATACACTGTAGGATGCTGAGAAGGGGTGAAGGGAATTATACTCACCTGCTGGAAAGGGTTGGGGTATCCAGCACTACAGGTCATGTAGTAACGGAGAGTATCTACAAAGATGAAGGAAAAGAAAGTCATGCTAAATACACCGTTCCAGCTTTGCAGTACTTTACAACTGCCACAAGGGAGGTGTTAAGTTCTGAAAGCAATACACAAAATGAAAATGCAATATAGATGGAATTGCTTCCCTCTCTTAATGTAGGATTACAGTACACGGATGGCACTACAGAAAGGGACGTAAGCTGCCTTTAGGGAGAAAAGAAAGATTTGTTTTCTTTTTATTTCCTTTTGTTGTTGTTGTTGTACCACACTGAAAGGCAATGGGGCTGCCCCACTTAACCAGTCGGATTAAACATCCAAAAAGTTTATTCAGATGTCAGCACTATCCACAGTATAAACATAAGACAAGATCTCAGTCTAGGAAAAATCAACATGATGTTTAATTTCTGCAACTTCCAAGTGTCAGAACACCATTCCACAGGCACTGAAAACAGCCAGACTGCTGCCTAGGGCACATAGCAGAGGACAACTCAACTTTCAGCCAATTCAGTTCACCAGGTAGGTCACTACACAGGCACAAAAATATTAGCACAGGGAAGGTAGTAGCAGTGATATTAATACAGATGGGGATTCTTGTCGTGTTTAAGGAGAGACTGGTTTTAGGCAGTGTTCTGTACAAAGTCAAAAGAAAGTCCTCCTAATTCAAGAAAATCATAACTTTCAGTAGTATCATTTCCAAAAATGGTATCACTTTGAAACCAAGCACAGAAATGGATGGAAGACGACAAATTCTTGTCTTTCTGACATGCATTAGGGATGAACAAGTAAATAGTCGTCTGTTTTCTCATGAATGTCACTTGCACACCATTAGATTTTAATTAGAAGGCTTTAACTAAAAAAAGAGTGCACGTCATTTGTTTTGCAACCTTCTTTTGACTCATGTAAAAAAGGTATTTTTGGTATTAAGTCAAGACTGCAGACTTGATCAGGAAAGCAAGCTCTTCCTGTGTATTAGGATAACAGCAACATGTTATCTGTTCAAGGGACCACAGATCATTTGCTGGTAACATCCCAAAAGTTAGTCTTAATACTGAGTAGCTCCATCAGTAATCACAGCACAGAGAAGATGTACATGTAAACTTCCAGATACAACTGTTAAAAAGCTCTGCTAGCGGCATCACTTATTTCCAGGCTTGAAGACAGTTTTATTTCTCCTTATTCAGATGTGCACGAAGCCAGCCTGGTGCCCTTATGAGCCCTCCATAATACTACACCAACTGCTGGCACGCACAAGTTACAAATATCAGGCTTCTCTCTGTCATTCTCAATAATGCTATCGAGGGAGGGAGCTCTGAAAGACTCGATCATCCAAATACCTTTAGATTTTTTATCAAACATTTACAGTTCCTCTTCAAATGAATGGGAGAGTGCCAGCCTAGCAACAGCAAGGGCGACATTTGCTTGTCAAAAGCCCCAAAACACACATACACTCTGCATACCACCCCTCCCTATTCTTTTTCATCTTCTGCCTGTGACTTTCAGCAACACATATTCCAGGCTGCATCAGTCCCAACCCAGAAATCGGTAAACGGCACAGCCACAAAGCGAGTGGAGCAGTGAAGGAAGCAGACCTGACTATATCCTGACTCCACTGCACTTCCCATGAATATTGAATGCACCTTTCAGCAAGCCAACCCACCGGAGACCAAGTGGTACAACACAGACTGTCAGCTCCTGCGCACTGACAATGCAACCTGACAGCTGTTATTTATAATTCATTAGCCTACTTCGGGGCAGCTTCTGCCAGCTGCTCCATCTCCCCCCCTACCAACTCGTTCTCTGGGATGACTTATATCTCCCCAGCCAAGCCTCTGAAGAGCAATTAGCAAAATCTGGGCAGATAGGATGGCAGCATGAACTGCTTTGTGCACCTCACCTTGGGCAGACCACATAACTGTCCACAGCTACGGAGCCAAGGAAAGGACTGCTCTTCCCAGGCTCATAAATCACACTCAACAGCTACAGAAAAACACACCTGCATTGAGAGAACATCATAGCAACAGCAAGCCACAGCATCACACCCAAGGACCGAAAGGAACTGGAATCTTGTCACCTATTTGTTTTAAAACAACACTAAAAGCTTCTCTTGGGCTCCCACAGTGTTATCAAGTCGACATCACCTTTGTAGGTGCATTAAGTTGCATGACATACTGCTAACACACAGCTCCAGAAGCGTTACTTCAGGGCCTTTTGGATCATCCCCGGTGGGCAGATTACAGATGAGAGTTCCCAATATCATCATAGTTTGCAGCTTGTAAGCCCAGGATAAAGATTGTTGGTTGTAAGTGAAGCGAAAAGCAGTACAGTGGAATAAGCGCTTCCCTTGCTTTACCCTGGAAGGCAGGATCAACAAGGCTTCGCTGTGGTAGTGCTGGCTTTGCAGCTGACAAGCGTGACACTCTGTATATAAAACGTGCTTTCCAAAACGGCAAAGCCAGCAGGAGCAGCTTTCCTCCACACTGAACCCAGTGCGCTAATAGCTGTGGTGCTTTAAAACTAAAGCTACAATAGGCAGTGAAGCTGCCCTAAGGTGATCCTGCACTTCAAAGCCTGGAAATTAAAAGAAGTGTGACCCCTGCCTCCATACCACCATGATGGAAAGAGGAGAGCAGTTTTAAATCTTGTGCAGGCTATCCTGTGCAGCACCAAATCTCGCATCATCTGCGCTCTGCTAACAGCTCCAGGCAATTTCTTTCTATAATTATCTCTTGGTTGCATTTTCCTCTCAAGGAAAATTCCTGAAGGTTAGATCTGATTTTTGAAGCCGGCCTTTAGGCGATCTAGTTGATAGGAGAAGGGTTAGTCAGGGTCACATCTGCAGCTGCCTATACCTGCTGTTGCTAGCAGCAATCCTCCTGACCCACGCTCTTGGTGCACAGGCAGTGTGGGAGCAGAAGGCAAGGAAGGGAACTACCCAAAATGCTTTATTTTTGCAAAGTCTGTTTTTCCTAGAAAGGAAAGTAGAACTGCCTGCTAAAGACAGCTCAGCTGCTAGAACTACTTATTGCTTCTGCAACCATGGAGACATACTATGCACTTCAAAGCTCAGCCGAAATGCAAAAATGGCATTATGCACCCACCAAAAGGCAGTGGAAGGTCTGTAGGGTAAAGAGCAATTAGATTTT